GGTTGGAAACAATTACGTCACAGCACGGAAAGACGTGTTGTCACCATATTACTGCTACAGTGATTTCTTGATGAAAACACAAAGCATTAGTAAACGATAACTGCGAAACACTGTGGTGATGTTTTATAGCCTTAATAATAATAATTAATAATGGACCTAATTGGAATTCATGGCCTTCACAGATTTTCAGGTGACAGTTGGCTCCATAAGAGACTGTCAGGATAATCATTGAAGAATTCATGCATAAATGTAGGTGCAGTCTGCCCCCCCCCCCACCCCAACTTTCCCATCAAAGCTACCATGCGCCTCCTCAGCGTGTACGTAGTAGTTGGATAGCTTTACGTTGACAAGGTGGGGAGGGGGGTTATGAATATTTTTTACATTTCATTTTGCCTACCGAGTATGTTATATATGGATGTCCCATTGTCCCAACAGCCCTGGCGTATGAAGTGGGCTCCATAGACGGATGTGCACATTGCAGTATTTTAATGTTACCGGCGAGCCTTTTTGTTTTCGTTACCGTAGTTGAGCATGCACAATGCATTACGATATGGCATCAATAAAATGAAAGGCACGTGAAACCGATGATGAAGAAGGAACTTCAACTGAACATCAGATTAAGCAAAAAAAAATTTATTCGCTTATATCCTATCTTGAATGTCAGACAAAATTGACTGAGTTGCGTTCTTCAAATAAGGGTCCATTAGACGTAAACAGCACAGTCGGACTTTTCATTAGCAATCAATCAGAGATAAAAGGAGTGGTGTTGATTTAAGAGATTGTGTGCATGGAGCCGGTCTAAGTATTTCAATTTATATACTCAACACCGCCAAATTTTCGTAATGACAGTTCGGATGTGTGTGTGCGTGGTTGGGGGGGGGGGGTGTCCTCGGCAGAAAGTATGTGCGTTATTTAAACAATTCTGCAACATTCATCCCGAAACTCTGAAAGTCCAAAAATAACATTTTTATCTCGAATGGTGTAAACTACCACCCAATGTGTAGTAGGCATTAGACTCGTGATGTTGTTAAGGGGTATGTTCACAAATCAACTGGCTTGCTATACTCAATAGTGGAAGAATTACAGTACGGTGTTAAGTCTACCGAATGTTCAACACGCGCATGACGTGTATTTCGTTGGGCTACGCCAGTGGTTCTAAAATATTTGTTTTTTCCGGCGCCTGTGCAATATTAGGTTTTCAACAGGCGCCTTGCGTGACATTCTAACAAGTGCACTTGGACATAGCGAATACCAAAATAAAATAAAGGGTGGGATAAAAATAAATATAACACGTATGTAGGTCACTGACCGCCATCTGTAGCTACAAACAGTAGATACTCAACTGGGTAACTGGACCGAAAGATGTCACATTGGATTAAAAGTAAAAATAAAATTATGAAATTTTTTTAATATTTCGCAACGCCCCT